CGGGCGTCTTGATGTGGCTGCTTCCTCTCTTTACTTCGAGTCCTTGCCCTGAGCAGCAGAGAGCCCGGAGGGTGCAGAAAGCGTCAGTTTCTGCAGTTTCCTACGAGCGCCCGCGACCTGCCTCTACCTGATGCCCCTCAAGTACAAGCTCGCGAACTATGAGCCCTGTTTTGGAAGCTCGGATCTTCCCGTGTGCTCAAGAGAGCTCGGTGAACCAGCTTGTGCCTTACCTTCTTGGCTGCCGACCGGCTTCATCACCAGGGTGCTCAAGAGTGAGCAGAACCTGATATCGCAGCTTCGACCACGTGAAAGTCGGAGTGCAGCATGCCCGGCTTGCGCAGGCCGCACCCCTCGGCTGCTTCGGCTTTCGCCACTAATTTCGTGGGCTTTGGAGAGGTCGGAGGAGCCGCCCAGCATCAATGCTGTCCAGCAGTTGGCAAGCATGTACACGCAGCATGAGATGTCGCTCGGCGTAGTGAGTGTGTCGAAGAGTACCACTTTGCAGGATGTTCTTGCAAACATGAAGCAGATGATTCAGAACTTCATGAGGAACTGCACACCGGCCTCGCTACCGGACATGCTGGTGTAGAGCTACAACCCACTTCCAGCCAATCTGCTGTTGATATTCGCGGCATGATTCCTTACCTGAACCTTGGCACTCCACATGCTGCACCATCTGCACCTCCTCCCATGCCCGTCCTCACGACACAGTTTGCCACGCAACGTGCGGGCTCAGAGCTGCCCGAGCAATCTGGGGCGCCTATCAGGAATGCTGGCTTCAGCAATTCTGTCTCCTGCATCCTGACTCGGAGTCCTGCTCGAAACCGCGGGCCAAGCAAGCCGCACGGAAGCAGCTCCAACACAATGGAGGCCACTGGTGCCACTTCGGCATCCGGGCTCTCGTGGCAGTGCGCGTTCCACCCAGGCCTGCTTGGAGACATTGAGCTCTTTAGTACTGCCGCACCGCCCTGTGAGTTTTCCGACAAGAGAGCCCTTGCAATCCTGGCAGCTCCGTTGCAGCAAACAGCAACTGCGAGGACTAGGACCAGGACTTGGAGCAAAGACAGAGCCACCACTCTGATCCCCGTCCCTGAGCGCTCTGTCCCAGTGAAGTCAGTGAAGTCCATCCCGAAGCCCGAGCACGAGCAGTTGCACTCCAAGCTGTTAGTTCACCTGCTGCAGCACTAGGCCAACTTGCAGGAGTCACCAGAAGCTTCAGGCGAACCCAGTACTGGAACTGGTGCAGCGACAAAGAAGAAGCCGTGGCTCCTTCTGTGGATCAGGCGGCTCCGGCACAGCCACTGGCACAGCCGGTCAGACTGGGCCAGCTGACAGCTATCGCTCTAGGCAGCTTCTCAAAGACTAAACTTGCACGCAGGGGTGCGCGACGATCTCGCTCCCGGCCCACGAAGCAGCCACGCCTGACTGCCGGAGCCTCCAAGCTCAATGCTGCACTTGCAGTGTGCAACCTTTCGACACATGCATCGGGATGCCTTGCAGCAGGAGCACGCTTATCGTGCGCAAAGGGTCTTGCCTACTACCTGGCGGCCATTTTGGCTACTTACCTGTGTCTGTGCCAGGGACCTCGGTCCGTGCAGAGAGTGCAGAGAAGGTCACCAGTGGATTGTCGCACCGCCAGCTTCTCCCCGAGCTTCGTAGGCCAAACGCGATTCTCCTTATGTTGGATCAGAAGGACTTCCTAGCTCGGGAGTGTGGCTTGCAGTGATGCAAGAAAGATCTGCGCAGCCAGCGAAGCATTTGCTTGCATTGGCCATGCGCACATTCACGGACAAGCACGACACACCACTGGGCGAACTACCCCGGGCTGGGTGCCGGCATGTCATGCGCCGGCCGTGTCTGCTGTGCTTGCAGCCCGTGCTGCACTCGCGAGCTTCTCCGACTGCTCTTGTTTTGCAACTTTCAAGGCCGTGTTCACGGCTTGACACGACCTGTACTGTGTAGGGCCCGTATGTCGCGTCTGTCATGCTACATCACTACGAGAGGTGCGTGCTGAGTCAAAGTATACCTCTACTTCCAGGTTGGCCCAATACCCCCAGTCGCTGAACGTGCTCTGGCAGTGGCAGAGACGAGAGCCACACAGACCCTTGAAGACATCCCGTATGAGACACATCCTGGGTTCTCGCTGACACGTCGCGCATTTCCCTATTTGGGCCCCCGACCGCAGGTTGTATCCATGTTTACGTGCCGCGAAATGCTGTGCACGTTGAGGGGCTCCCAATCATGTTCCGACTGCTTCATCAGACATGCCTGCCAGCTGTGAGGAGTGTGGCACTTGAAAAGCCAGCATGTGTTGCCAGACTGGCCAGATCTGCCGGCAAGCAGATCCTCGTCACCTGGCACATGGCCAACCTGTGAAACGCACCTCCCGCGCCCCCAACACCTGCTGCCCTCGCCAGTAGCTCCAGGATTGCTTGCAACAGCTGGCAATGTCGTGCAAGAGGTCGGCAAACCAGGCCGCATGACTGCGACTTGATGGTCCCCTGCGTCCGCGCCAGGCTGACAAGACGGAACAAGGTCTGCCCGTCCTGAGCCTCTGAAAGGCCCGGAACGACGCTCACTCTGAGAGAGGCGGGGAGGCTGAGGTCCGGTCCGGGAAGAGTTCGAAGCCCTTGAAAGCCACACCGGGGCAGCAGCTCGCGGTTCCACCTCAGGGCACAGGTTCACTTCCCTTCCTAACGTGCGCGCACGGGATCTACCATGCCGAAGGCTTAGAAACTCGTATCAGGGACGGCCGGGCCTTGCAGCTCTGTGTGAGACTACGGGAGAAGGCGTGGCAGAAGGACTTGGGAGAGCAGGTGAAGTGCTCGATTCGGAAAGCCACATCAAGCATGCAGTCTTTCATTTGGATGATGGAGATTCAGATCCGCAGCGGCTTTGGCCAGAAGCCTGCAGGCAACCAAAGCATGCAGTCTCGGTTTGTTTCTTTTCCCTTGGCCTTGTCACTCAGACCACCCACACCCAGGGACCCCATCCAGTGTTCCAAGCCGCGGCCCGTGTCGAGTGCAGTCCTCGTTGCGAGCTTTGCGAAGACCTGTGGATGTAGCCCAGAAGAGTTCAGGCCTGCAGCGCAATCGTGCAGCCTCTGCAAGCTTGGTGGGGTAGCGCTATCACGTTGCATGTGGCGAAACCGTGTCCACAACTTGGGTGCGAAAAGATGGATGCTCTGTTTGCACTTCCCTGTCCGGTTGCGCCGCCGCCAAGGCTGTCTGGGGCGGCGCAGGCTCGGTCGCCCTGCAATCGGATGAGGCTCCTGGAAGCCTAGAGCGGGCGCCGCAATGCCTAGGCCAAGGCCTAGTTGCTTGCAGCGCACTGGCAGACACAGAGTGCCTCACGTTCAGGCCCAAATCGCCGTATGGGTTCCTCCGAGACTCTCCTGTCCGTCTGGTGCAGCTGCAAGGTGCAGCACGCACAGCACGCAGATTGCTGTCGCCCGGCGCTGTTTGGTTTGGCTTTGTGCCCAGACTTCGTGCATTGACTTCATCGCTCGCTGCTCATGAATGCCCGTCTGCACAAATCGTACCTCGCTGCGTCTCGGGTTCCTTCACCATCGGACACAGAGTGCACATACCGCACAGACTGGCGGGCCTTGCAAAGATGATGACACTAGTCCCTCTGCATGCAAGCGGGTTCCTTTTCGCAGATCTGCTGGTCAAGCACCTGGGCGAAGGTAGGAGCGTTTTCGTTTACTGCAAGCGCCCTATGCCGACAGTTCCTCAGCTATGCTTGCTTAGCCGCTTCCGCGCAGGCGCGCTCTGCTAGTCCAGCGGCATTGCAAACATGAATGCGGCTACCAAGAAGGCACGGCGGCAAGACGAGCACCACTCCGGGCCCTGAGGAGAACAAGCAGCGAGACCAGGGTCAAGAAACCAGTGCATGACGATCAGTCCCTTCTGAGGTCACCGTAGGCATGACTCTGTTGGACACAGTTGGTCTCAGTTGATCAAGTCAGTCGCAGATTCCGTTCGGGGGCATGCAGCACTGTAGCCACGAACAAGCCGTGAAACCCCAAGCCAGACCGAAGCAGAACATGATATGTTAAATGCTTATAGCGGCTTCAGCACTTCTTCCGCAGCCTTGCAGGCCATTCGTGTTCAGCCAGCTGGCTGACAGCATTAGCGGCAGACACAGCATGTTTCGTGTTAGCGGCTTCGATGTTCGGAAGGTCTTCGAAGCAAGGGAGGCTCTTGCCACATGACAAAGTCTGCGGAATGTGTGTCAAGGATTGCACAGCTGCCGCCCCACTTCTACAGGTGAATCGACGTCTTCCCCTTTACCCATGTGCCGGCGTAGGTGCCTGTAATGCAACGCACTCTCGTTTGTGCGCTTGTGGCGGACGTATCTCTGAATATGGAGCTCGGCTTGCCAAGATCTTGCAGATCCTCGCAGCCGCTTTCGCGGAGAGAAGCTGCCAGCCTTGGGGCCACATCCGTGACTACAAGCCCGGCGAGCCCAGGCTTCCTAGTCCGAAGCTTCCCCAAGCTCCAGGCACGGTCCTGCTCCAGGCAGGTCCCATGGACGCAGACCCTGACGAGGCAATCATCCCAGAACCAGATGACTATGTGCAGGTGCCGATTTTGGGTGAGGATTTGCCTTTGTGTTATTATAGCGCTTTGGAAAGCCCATCCATAGAAAAACTCGGGGATCTCTCCGCCCTAATGGCTAAGTCGTTTTGGCCAGCGGCTGCAGTGCCGTGGGCTCGCATGTCCATTTGCCACGAGGGTGGAAGCTCTGCTGTGAACCGAGCAGCCTCACTTACCTGTCCAAAGGCCCTTTGCCAGTCCGGGGGCCACCCTCGTGCGCTGCTCGCGTGTCATGCAGGATAGAGAAGCATCGCACCTCCGAGGTGTCGGTTCTTCCATTCCAGCAGGTGTTGTCTTGGCACCTCCCCCTGACCTTCCACGCTTGAGACATTGCATCAAATCACCCGCGGAGCTGCGCAAGCCGCCCCCAGCCAGCGTGGTCTGTGCCCCTTGCCTGGCATGGCCTTTGAAATGTGTGCCAACCGCCTCGAATCCTGGGCTGCGCCCACTTTGCCAGACAGCTCTGTCCAAACGCCTGTTACCACCTGCAGTGCCGGAGCGTCCGACGGCATGTGCAAATGTCGACACCGCCCTTACTTGGAACACGAGTGCCATGATCATCTTGCACGCTCGTGCTCCGTGGTTAGCGTGTGCTGTGCCCAAGTGAAAGCAGCCGGCCAGAGTCGCGGATGCATGCGGATGCTGACAATGTGTGGCTCCCAAGTCGAGCAGCTTCAGGGCCGGAGCCTGCATGGGTCTGTGCTGACTTGCGATGATAAGACCTTGAGGTCCTCCAGGTCGTCAGCCGAGCAGCTAGGCCGCTAGGCCAAACCGCTTGCTTGAGGAACGACAGCGCTCTGCTTCTGGCCATCTCATCGGCCTCCACGGTGGGCATTGCCGTTCCCTTCCGCTTGCCCGGCTTGCCAGTTGTTCTTGCTTGAGAGGCTTGAAACCTTGATTTTTCGAGACTGCCCAGCAACACTCTGTGCTGGTTGTCAGGCGGATGCATGCAGCCTCCAGGAATCATGTGGCAACCAGGCGGCCACGCAGACGGCGCCTGACGCCCCAGCTCCCCTGCGGCGCTGCGGCTGTGGCTCCTTCCGGATATACTCCGACTGTCCACTGCGAGTGGATCCCAAGTTCCTGCAAACTTCCGAAGGTCCTCGGTTCTTTGCGGTTCTTCCTTCGAAAGGCGCAATAACGAGGCCTGGATCAAAGGCAGGCGCCGGTGTCCTGCCACTCGGAAGCTTTGGACCAACTTTGGTGCAAGACCTGGACGACCTGGACCTGACTTTGCAAAGCTTCCTGCCTGGAATCCACCTTGCCAAATCCCGTAAGCTGGAGCACGGATGGCACTTCTGCCACTTCCTCCAGCTGCACGCGCGCATCAAGCTGTGACATGCCTGCAGAAGAGCTTGCAAGAGTCGTGCCTGTTCCATAATCTGCAAACTCCCGCCGCCCTGCCAAACAGACCCCAGCCCGGCACCTTCGAAATGACACCACTCCTGGGAAGCATCGGGCAGAGCGTGGCAGCCAGCGCATTGCCTTTCGAGTGATGAGAAGGCTCATCGGCAGCACCGCGCAAGCCAACATTTTGTGCCCATCGGACTGCTACGTGCAGCAAGGTGCGATTGCATGGCTCCTTAGCCGCATCAAGGGGTCATGTTGGAGCTGCTTGTTCAACTGTTCCCAAACTTAAGCCGGCATTGAATGAAGGTAGTTAAAGTGGCGAATGTGTCGTGGCCACATGCGCTCGGAGTGAAACTTAAAGCTAGAGCAGCAGCTAGAGGTCTTCTAGATTGTCATGCCTGCGGATTCCTGAATCGGTTCAAGTTGCCTGCTCAAGAATGCAGTGATTTGCGGAGTTCTTGGCTGCACCTCAATGACGGGGATCTCCAACCATCTGGAAGCCTGGAAGTGTTCAGAGCCCCAAATAGAAGCCACTGAAACTCTGCATGCAACTCACTCAGGACAAGACAAATCTTGCCAACGACCTCCCGGCTGTCTGAGTCCACTGGACGCATTTCGAAGGTTTGGCTGTTCGGGGTTCGCTTATGTCTTCTGAGACTTGGGCATTGGACGTGATGCATCGTGGTTTGTGGTTCGTATTCGTCCCTCTCCCGCGCCTCACTCTTCCCTTTCTTCCCCTCTTCCCATCTACCCTTTCCTTCCACAGCATCCTTCAGACATCTGGCTGGCTATGAGTAGCTCCCCGTAAGCCCTCACGTTCGTTTCCCGGATCAAGGTCACGTCTTCTTCAAGCCGTGGCCCCATTACGGCAGAACCTTTGTGAATGAGGACGTGGGAAGGGTACATGCCTCGTGTGTGTGTGTGTGTGGATTGTTTTGGACAGCGCATTGAAGAGACTTGATATACTTGATCAAGTTTGTGGTGCACGTGAGCAATGATGGTGTTGGGTTGTGGTGCTCCCTGGAAGGACGGCATGCAAGCAGAGGCTGACGAGAAACCCAGACCTCTCGCAGCCTGAGCAGCCGAAGATGTCCCTAACCCTCGTGGAAATCGCCGCCGAGGCAGCGCCAGGTGCAAGCGGACAGACAGGCGACGTCCCTCTGCTGCATGCCCGCCACGTACGCACTGCACGCCCTGCGTGCGGGGCCACTGCTCCGGCTGCATTCCATGGGCACTTTCACTTGCATCTGTGGCTTTGCCCACGGCCTGTGCAAGAGAAATGCCGGCCGCCCATTTGCAAGCTGCGGTGCCGCCTGGCTCCAAACAGGAAGCACCTCTCCCTGCTAACTTGCAAGCCGTGGGCTCTGGAAGCGCTGAAATCTGTGGCATGGGTCTCCGTCCTCTGGACAAGCACTTTCAAACCTATCTGCTTTTTGCTGTCGATTCCCTCTTTCTCCTGTCGCCTCAGGCCCGGCATCCCCAAGTCAGCACCTAAGGTGATGCCACTCCTCACAGCTCCGGCTCCGAAGAGAGCCACAGGCCGCCTTGCCATAGCGACAGACTCGAAAGACTCAGACTTCCTCCAAAGGATCCCGTCGCGATCGCGCGGAGACATGTGTGATTCCGCATTGTTCGTCATTTTCCTTTCGAAACTGCCTGCCATCAAGCCTTGTGTCTAGCTCTCTCTGTCAATGGTGAGAAGATTTGCCCAAATAAAAGGTGACGGACCACTCAAGGCTATTGTGATGCAACTTGAGGCTGTGATACTTCGGCGCCCCTCACCGAGCCAGCCCTTGCAGGAAAGACATCTGCGCTCTTTGCAGTCTTCCGTTTCGACATCCTGCCGCGGTCGTCGTTGTTCGCGATGCGGCTCAAAGCATCGGTGGCTTACTGGACAAAGATGCCGATTCGAAGTTCTAGCTCTTCGACGCCTGAGCAGTCCTCAGCTGAAGCAGCCCATCCTACGAAGACACTCTTTTCAAAGCCTGCTTCGTCCTGTGCAGTTCTTGGGGCTGAAGGAAAGTCCAGCAGCCTTCAATGTGGTCTTTGAAACACGCGAAGCAAGGGCTGCTTCCACCAAGCAAGGATTTACACCTTGCACTTGGGAGTCGATGCTGCGGGGGCCATGCCGCCAGCGCGGAAGCAGTCGGCCCAGTGGCCACAGCAGCCCCGCCTGACCATCGCATAGTGCGGCCGCTTCTGAAGCCACGTTGCCAGAACATGATGGCAGCAGCTTTGCCTGCAAGAGCTCTTGCGGGCTCCCCGCATTCGTCAAGGGTGGCTATCTGTGGGCAATGCAAGCCTCTCTTGCAAGAGCTCTGTCCTTGTCAGTCTCCGATCCCCCCGTGCGCTCTGATCGCCGA